TCGTACACTGTAGCAAGATTCAAGACACAAGAAAAAAAGTTGAATACATTGCAAAGCTAGCAAGAGAGGTAGGAATAAAGCAAAGTAAAATAAAAGACTTAATACAGAAAACACAAAAAAGAGACATTGAACGCAAGGAGAAGATGAAAGAGGAGGAGTTCACCATAATGGAATACAGGACACCATTAAGCAGCATATACAAGAAAATAGGAATAGCAAGTAATAAGAAAATAGCCTATAAGAGGAACCCTACAATATTTCAGATGTTAAGAAATGACAAAGCACCCTTAGACAAAAAAATTGGTTCCAGGGATTTACAGAATACTGTTACACGATAAAAGGCGCCAAAAGGAACTGTATTATATAGGGGCCATAAAACAGTTGCTTACTAAAAGGTTGAAAGAGCACAAAAGGAATATTAGATATGAGCATTAAAGGAATTAGATATGCCAGTCATGACGTTAGCAAATTACGTGATTGCAGAACCAACAGAGGTTTCAGTTAATTGGGATAAAGCAGAACTTATACAAAAAGTTGCAAGCAGACGACATCTAAAGTATACAGAAGCATGGCATATTAATAAGTACAATGAAAAAGGGCAAGCTATAAATTTTCGGGAATCCTATAAACTAACATCGGCATGGAAAGCGGCAGCTTTGCAAGTTTAAAAAAGCAAACTGGGCTTGCGCATTTGAATCTATGATAGTTTGTTTTTTAAAAAAAGCATTCTATAATTTCTGTCTGGCAATAGAATTTTCAGTTTGAAATAAACTTTTTTGTTTGAGCGTGAAGAAGGTCAGTGAAGATGATCAAAATCGTTCAGTATTTTAGCAAAATAAGCTGCATTTTAAAGGTTGGTTGGAGCATTTTTGATGTTAGGGTTTTGACTAACTTCTTTAATATCAATTTTCTTATAAAATATCCATATAATTCCCATTCACTATACTGTAATTCCTGTATCCTTGAAGGTAAGAGATAAAATTATGACAATGAAGATTGATCATAAATCCTAATGAATTGAAGCAAAGAACTATACAAAAAATGTGTACAATCAGTATCAGGCATTTCATTTTAAATGTTTTTCACATTTTCAATAAAAATAGTTTAGATACATAAAAACATACCGCTGAAATACTAAAAATTCAGTAACATTTTATTTCAAAAATTCTTTTGATACAAACATGATTTTATTAATAGATTCTGGTTAAAAATGAATTGAGTCACTTATTAATTGAAAGTTAAACTGATATCATAACAGCAAGTAACTAAATTTTTAAAACTTACAAATGCTATTACCATACATAAATTAATATGGGAATATAATAGAATTTTTGGATTAACAAATTTAGATATTTTATAAACTAAGCTCCTATATAAAGTTTTGAAGGTTTTACATTTACATGACCAGTGTTATAAAGAAAATTTTTAAATGGACGTGTATATTTCTATGGAAAGGTATGGAAAGGCTTATTTGTATCAGATATAACTTAACAAAGACAAAATTATGTAAACATTGTATACCTTTAAAAAATTCAGTTTTTAAAATATATAAAATATTTTGTGAGATTTCAAAAATCTCAACAAGTTTGTAAACTTCAATAAGTTTTGGAAATTATTTAATATATTGCTTAAATATTGCTTATTTAAGCAATATATACTATTTATTTGAGATTAATTTCTAGATATTTTCTCAAGTGTAATGTATACTATATTTAGCATAATTTTTTTTTATCTATAACTAATAATTCAGATGAAACAAAATACAGTAGTGTGTCTATAGTTCTTTGTCATTTTCCGGTTTGACACATCCGGTAATTTGACATTTCGTTATTGGGCCACGTGTGAAATTTTTATGTACTTGAAGTATGCAGCAGAGAGAGACTTACGTACATGTATACTGTCATTCGCTAGTTGTTTGTTGCAAGTGCATTGGCAAAACAGTCACAATCATGATTAATATGATAAACTAATCTCTGGACCATATATACAAAATCCAGTCATTTGACAATCTGCTGTAATCTGACACCTGCTGGTCTGATATACATAGGATTATAGAGGCTCTACTTTATATGTAAGAGATATATAAATGGCACATGGAATCTGATATTTATATAGAACTTGATTTTAGCAGATTTTTCATTTTATGGCCATATAAATTAGTAAGTTTATTTTAAATTATAATGTTAATTAAGTATTATTTTTTAAAATTGAAAGTATTTGAATTGATTAATTTCTTATTTAAGTTTTCCATGGGACAGACTTCAAGAATATTCTTTTTTTCTTTTTATATTTTGTTGTTATTCTTTATTACTTACACTTTTGTATACATAATGTGCAATTAAAATAATTTAACATACTCCTCTATAATCTATTCAAATATTCTTTCCAAAAAAGTAATCAAAGATGTGTTTAAAGCAAAAGAAAATAATTCAACTATTTTTAAATATCAGTAAAAATTTCATTTAATTTTCTGTGTTGTTTTTTAAATTATTTTACAAAATTGAGGAATTTCAAATCACCTATTTTATTTTTAAATTTATTTTGTTTGATTTTGTTCCAACTTGCAGCATATAAAGTTTTGAGCAGACTTTTCTTTTCTGTCTACATAAATCATTTTTTTTTAGTCAACTTAATTTTTTTAGTCAACTTAATTTTTTTAGTCAACTTATTTTATGTTGTTGCTTATGCTGACAACATTTAGTTCACTAACTGTAACTCAGATGTCCTCCAATCGGATCTACAACCTTTAGCAATTCTTTTGAAAAAGATAACCCTAAAATTAACACAAAAAACAGTTGGCATCTGCATTTTTTTACTTTGGAATACGTCCTTGCTTCCTTTTGTCGTCGGAACAAACCATTTAAATCATATAGACTCTATGAATTACTTTGGTAGTTTTTGATGATAAACTCATGTTTTCAGAACACATTGCCAAAAAAGTTAAATTTCTTGTTTTGCCATACGTCATGGAATTCTCTGGAGGTTTTGCAGATCCATTTCTTCGAAATGGGTATTATGTTTTNATATTGAAAAAAAAAATTATATTTTGTAAGTTACTCTAGTATCAAAAACGTTTTAATTCAGTATGACACAGTCCTCAGAAAAAGCCACACAAAACAAGCTAAACTTTCTTTTTCTTAGGTTTATCTGTAGATGTCAGCCTCTTGGGCTATATTCTCTGACAAGCTGAAGCAAAACACCGCTCACGATGGGGGGGAAAAGCCTCGTTTAAATACTGGCATGTCCTTAAGTATCCTCTTGATGTGTGTCGTGCTGAATTGGAACGTTTTTGATACTAGATGAACTTCTGAAATATAATTTTTTGTTTTTATATTTTTCAATATATTCATTTTGTTTGTATGAAATAAAGAAATAATTTTTAACAATACAATATGGTCATCATAGTGCTGCCAGGTAAAACACACACACCGACAAAAATAATATTGGAGTAGCTCAAGACATAGCCAAATATTGCAGTGCCACAGCACTAGTGGAAATTTGAATTTTCCAACTGGATCGCTTTCGGTTAACCGATGTTTCGGTTGATTGGTATTCGGATAATCAATGCTCTACTGTAATTCATTTTATGTTGTTTCTAATGGGAAAATTTGTTTCGGTATTAGAACAAATTGATTTTCGAGCAACTTTCAGGATTTTAGGAACGAACTAAGTTCAAAACTTGAGGTTTGACTGTATTTTTTATAAATAAAGAATATAAGTGCTGTATGTGTTTTCAATGCATGCTATCATCATTTCATTACCATGTTTAAGAAAAAATACCTCTATGCCAAGGAAGTATCTACTGACAGTCTCTGCATGATTGGTCACAAAACAAAAAACAAGAACTTAGTATCAGTTACGTTAAAGACTATGTTAAACATAATATAGATAAGCAGAAATATTAGTGTCAGCACATGTTGCAAATAACCATTTTTTACCATTTCAAATATGGCGTCAAAATGATGATAGTGTATTCTTAAAACATATCACATAGCCTTTAGTTATAAAAAAGACAGTTTTTTGAATCATTATTACTATTTTTAATCTGCATGTCATAATCATGTAGAACTGTTGCTAACTCAATATTATACGCCAATAATAAAATATGAGCTTTATAATAATCTTTGTTTTATTCTTATTCTTTCAAAGTCCAATAAACATGATATGTTTTACAAAAAAAAAATCCTGATTATTTTTAGGGTTAAAATTTTTTATTGATGTCTTCTTCAATATTTCTTGAATTCCATTGTCCAAAAATTGTACACACGCAAACAATTTTAATAGTATTTTTATAAATACTAAATGAAATTTTTTTGGAACAGACATGTGCAACTATATCAGCCACAAGAAATAGGAAACTGATACTATAAAGTTTACATTCAGAGTAAATTTTTAAAAACAATTATTATAATTTAAGGTTAATTTTATAATTTTTAAAAATGATTTATGTTTATATACAGACAAATACATATATGAATGATCTTCAAGATAAATTACAACATAAAAACATAAAGGATCAAATTTGAGTAAATATGAAAATGTTTCACTATACAACGTAAATATTCATTTCACCACTTTTCAGCAGACTATGAGTAGAGAGGTTTTTTTTATTTATTGGTGTTTTGTATGATTACAAACAGTTATGACAGACAAATCAAGAACATGCTTGAGTTACTTCTGTTGGTTTTAAATATTGTTCTAGAATACCAATAGAAATGCTTATTGGTTTCTGTTCATTTAAATATTGCCCTAGAATATTAATAGAAATTTTTACTGATTTCTACTGGTTTTTACTTACCAGTAGAAACCAATACAATACCAATAGGATCTCCTATTGGTTTCTATTGTTTTTTTAACAGGATTTAAGCCTGTTAATACTGACATACTCCATAACCACACAATACATTAGGTACTAAAATAATATATGCTAATGATATGTAAACTATCAATATATAGTTTAAATCCTTCATATATTAAAAGCAGAGCATAAGAATACTCACAGCAACAAATAATTTATTTTCCAATGTAACCTCCTTTTAGTTGTAGTACATTTTTCCAATGATACTCTAACATTTCAATTGCTCTCCACAAGAAAGGTTGTCCAACTTCTGAAAACCATTTGTTAACAGTATATATTGTATATATCACATCTTCATCACTTTCATCTACACTTAAAAATTCTTTTTTATGAAGATAGTCTTTGAATTTGGGAAAAAGCCTGAAATCACTAGGGACTAGAAATGGTTAATAAAGGTGTCCAACTAATTTGTCTTTATGAATTCTTACTTCATTTATCATTAGTTAGTGTCAAAAGTCTGAAAATGAAAATTTTAAGCAGTTTGGATTGTAAGATATTTTTTGTTTTATTAAGAGAAATTTTGGAAAGTTAGAATAAAAATATTAAATATTTAAAAAATTTAGTACAAATTATAAATATAAATTTATTTTCACAGCTTTTCAAATTTCTGTAAGTGCTGAATAAGAATTTTGTTTGTATACACTTATTAATATTTATCTTATATTTGATATAAAAAGCCTGCAATTTATTTTTTAACAGAACATTGTTCATTTGGTAATAATACTTATTATAATGGAAATTTGTGGTATAACAATGACTGTGAATACTGTGCATGTAATAAAGGAAGTATTGAATGCAAAAAGGCTGTTTGTGAAATTCCAACTTGTTCTGAGGTATTTTATATTTAAAATTTTTTAAATGATGATTAAATTAAAAAAACTAACTTAGATTTATTATAAAAATTCTTAAAAAAGTTTCAATCAAAGAAATATAATAATACAATTTCAGGGAAAAAAGTTAATTCATCAGAAAGGAAAATGCTGCCCTGAATGTATTACAGATTTTGATGTTTGTGTAATTGGAGACAAGTGGTATAAAGTAAAAAATATAAAAATTTTTTGAATTAAAAACTATTACTGTAAAATTTTTTAACATATCAAATTAAAATATTAGGATGGTGATACATGGAGTTATGGTAAATGTGGTTTATGCTCTTGCAAGAAAGGAAGAATTTTGTGCTTTCACTATGACTGTACCAGATGTATCAATAACAATACTATTGCTTTAATAAATTTTAAAGAATGTTGTCCCAACTGTCAAAAAGGTAAATTCTTTAATTTTGAAATATTGGGTTGTTCACAAAGTAATTTTGTTTTTTTCCATGGAAAAAACACAATATTTTTATAATAAATAAATATTTTATTGAATTATATATCAACCATTTTGGTCAAATACCTGTGCCATTGTTTCTGGTAGTAGCATGATTTCACATTCATAAAAGTTTTGATCATTGCTTACAAAAAACTGATCCAAGTGATTTTTGACACTGTCATTTCAAGTAAATGTCTTACAGTTAAAAAAAATTTGTATAGACCAGAACAAGTAATAATCCAAGTGTGCTCGATCTGGTGAATACGGTTGGTGCGATAGCATGTTTCATCTAAGTTATAACAGTTTCTGACGAGTTACCAAACTTGTGCAAAATTTGACATTATCGTGGTAAAACATTAAATCTGTTTTATTGATCAATTCTGGTCGTCTTTTCTGTTTGATGATATTACTCAATTTGTTTACTCAATGCAGTACACTTTCGAATCAATTGTAAAAAAGAATTTCCTTAAAATCTCACCAAAGAGAGCATCTCTCTTTAAGAGCATGTGGAACACATATATCGAGCTTTGAAACGAAACCAATTTGTTTCAAGTAATCATAAACGGTTCAATTTGACAAATGTAATCTCTTAGTGATTTCATGTGTTGTTATTCGGCAGTTTGCTTAAATCAGTACCTTTATTTTGTTTTCGTTGGCTTCAACTGGCCATCCAGAACTTGGTGCATCTTCAATAATGAAATTGCCAGAACAAAATTTTGTAAACCAGTTTTGGCAGTGTCTTTCCCTCAACACATCATCTCCATACACATCACACTTTTTTTTCTTGCTTGAACAGCATTTTGATTTTTTGGTAATAAAAGAGCAAAATATGCCGAAAATGCTGCTTTCGATCTTCCGTATTTGATGTGACACAAAAAATAAACAATTGCACAAAATCACACAAAATTTTTCACAAATAAGCCTTAAAATGCTTGCTGTCAAAATATATAATGATAATACGGTTTAGAATGAAAATGGCGGGAAAAATACGACTAATCTGTCTAGTGGCAAAAAAAGAAATTACTTTCCAAACAACCCAATATTTATTTTCAATATTAAATTTTTGATAATTATATTTAACTTTAAAAAAAATGTTATTGCATGTTTTATATTTATATATTTTTA